CCTGCATCACGGGGTGGAGGCGTCCCACGCTGTTCCCCGGAGTATGATCGTCAACTTCTACTGTATCCGGAGGTCCACAATACAGTGGGCGTGGTAATGACTCCTTGACCGCACAACACTATCCATGAACATGGGTATACAAGACGGACTCGGTACAACGCCGCCAATGCAGACGTATCTAGCTGTCTTAATGTAAACAGAATGTGAACCGTCGCGAGTCTAAACAACGAACGGGTCGTGGCGGGATTAATAAACGAGCGACCAGTACCGAGTCTAACAAACGAGTGCCTGACAACTCTGGTGGCGAGCCTTCCTCAACTCCGGTGTTGTCACAAAAACTTCAATTCATTTATCAATAATATTAGTGTTTATTGAGGAATACTATATATTTAATCCGCCAAACTTTTACTGCTGATAAACACAGGAATAATGAATTGAATTACATATAAATTACAAATAGAATACATTTATTCATGTTACCAGGGCATGAAGCTCCGTAAACTCCATATTATTCCGGTTTCCAATTAGTAAATATTACAAACTACTGACGAAACCCCGATGGAAGAATTGTCCACAGTTATGCTAAGATATGCTTATATGCTAGAGCAGCACATTTCAATACTAATCATAGGTGTTGCACAATATCCTGAAAGAGACCTTGATGGGGTTCGTGAATACTTTTCATATGATCGTCAGGTTTAAATGTGCCACTGAAATTATCCTGCAAAATTAGCTTAAGGCTATAGATTAAGTGTAGTGTCCTCCTCCATGTTGTTTTGTTTGAGAATGGATAGCATTAGGGGGGTGGTGAGGGGACGTGGTGCAGGGGTGTGGAGTGTAATGAAGAGCCTGGTAGTGGTGGTATGCAAGGCTGGAGGATGATGCAAGGGGGTGGAGGGTGATGCAAGGGGTGGGAGGGTGATGCAAGGGAGTGGAGGGTGATGCAAGGGTAGGGGTGGAGGGTGATGCAAGGGTAGGGGTGGAGCAAGGGTGTGATTTATAGGGAGCAGCAAACTGCAATTGGAAGGGGTAGATACGTACTGAAGCTGAACTGTGGTATTTATATTTCACTACTCAAATTTATATTTGTTTACAAAGAGTTCTAACATCGAGGTTCATATTCATTATAATTCCGAAGGGAAGCAAGATGATGAAGTTTCTGCCCAAAACGCTATGCTTGTTAGTGGCTTTAAACGAATGTAAAAGAACACCAATGTTATGTACTCTCACAAACCCAATGTACCGTCTTATATATATATAAATAAATAAATAAATAAATGATTGTAGAGACTCCAAAGGATTATGTATTATATGTAAAGAGACGATGTGAATGATGGCATGTCTGTGTGATCATCATACTGTGCAAGATGAAAAAAATTGATAAATAAACATTACGACAAAAATATTATAAGTAAAATATTTTTAGAAAAATATTACGAAAAAATATTATGAGAAAAAATTATGCCAGAAACATTAAATAAACACAAAGGTAATCACTGAAAATGAGAAGCCATATCAACGAAAATTGCACAAACAGTCGTGAACTAATATAAATGTAACTAAAATTCACTTTCACTTTTATGTTATAAAACGGAGAGTCTTTTTCTGGTCAACCACAAGAATAGACTCAAAGACACTCAGCTTGTCAGGAAGTCTATTGAGAGGCAGTTGTGTGGAGCCCTATTTGTGTCCTACACACACCTGTGGCCTCGAACAACAGGTGAAAAAGTTACATTTTTCTGGTTAAATTGCTGCCGGCACAAAAAAGCTCAGATAACGCCCGGAACCGCCAAACAGAGAGCTTAAAATTGTCTACAGGCATTATGTTTTCGACAGTTTTCCAACGAATGGTCATTCCCTAGAATGCAATACACAACAAGTGCCTATTTTCTGCTAGGCAAACAGAACAATCGGATGCACGAAAACGTCTCCAGACGTCTTGACTTGTTCTGGAATCGAACCAAGTAACGGTTAGTTGTGAGAAAACTGTCCCAGTCATTCCTTAGAAGTAAGCAATATTCTTGTACTCCCCTACCCTTCATGGAATGCGTTAGCCACAATTGAATAAGGTCATGGGAAGCGTTAAAGCCACAACTTTTCAGATGCCAGCATCAGGGGGAGTCACGATGCCGGTAGAGGACCAGTCGAGTGCCTAATACGGCTATTGTGAGTGTCCCTTTCACCGTCCTCAGACATCGCAAATCGAAGCTCAGGATCCAGCAGACCTTATTCCAGGAGGAAAGTAAATGGAGAAACACAATTGCGACTGTTCCTGCATGAGGCGCTGCACTGAGAGACAGAGAGAGAGACAGAGAGACAGAGATAGAGAGACAGAGAGAGAGACAGAGATAGAGAGAGACAGAGAGAGAGAGACAGAGAGAGAGAGAGAGAGAGAGAGAGAGAGAGAGAGAGAGAGAGAGAGAGAGAGAGAGAGAGAGAGAGAGAGAGAGAGAGAGAGAGAGAGAGAGAGAGAGAGAGAGAGAGAGAGAGAGAGAGAGAGAGAGAGAGAGAGAGAGAGAGAGAGAGAGAGAGAGAGAGAGAGAGAGAGAGATCCAATTCACATATGATATTCTGCCGAGAAATTGAGTTGACAAAGTGTAGATATCCAGAGCAATTTGGCATCAACCTCAGACAAGGAAAATTGCTGGAAGGTCAGTGTAATATCCTTCATTAACAATTAACATATATCATATGACAAATAGTATATACTAGGATTGAGACATATCATTCTAGAAATAACGGTACTTACTAATCTAGCTCAGTAGAGGGGGTCATTTTTGGGGGGTTTCAGAATTTATGCTGTTACAAGAGAGAGGTCTGATTATTTAAGGTGAGGAATGTTGAAAACTGATATACAGTAATATGATGAAAATAGGCGGATGCAATACGAACATAAGAACATAAGAATAAAGGTAACTGCAGAAGGCCTATTGGCCCATAAGAGGCAGCTCCTATTTATATCCATATAGTATTTATATCCAATAAGATACGGAACTGTCAGGAAAAATCAAATAATACCAGGTAGACAGTTTAATTTTAACAATGATAAATAACACAAACGTTGTACTCTGCACTATAGTTGTGAACGAATGAAACAAACTGGGGACAGAAGCCTACTTATTGTAAGCTTATAAAGATGTTCAATTAAATCACAATAACGTGACATATCTATGAGAAAATCATTGGAGCAGGAAGGGAATCGATCCAGCGTCCTGGGTGCTCCCAGACGTACACTTTAACCCACTGAGATTCCCCCAGGGCCTAGGCCATCTTGGCGTCCCTACTGCACTACGGGGGCACATGCATGACACTAGTAACGCTCCGGGGAGTTTGTGGAGGGACGAAAATTGCTTACTCGCTGCCAAGGTAATTGTATAACCTTCGCTAGAATGTAGCTTGCACCAATCGTTTAACTCCTGGATGCCTATGTAATACAAGGTAAACAGATGCACCAGGTAAAAGGAAACGAAGCTCACCCGTTTCTGTCCAACCACTGGAATAGGAGGTGGCGATATAGACGTTTCACGAAGTTGGTCTTAAGTTCTATCGATATCTGGAGGATTATTAAGGCCACAGTGTATATACCCTGAAGGAACAGACAAGAGGGTCAAGGACAGCCTCTTAAAGTGAGAAAAAAGTAACACAAGAGGACAGAAGTTGACGCTGGAAACACAAATGAGTCGAAGAAATGTAAGGTAATAAGAATTTAAATGTCAGAGCAATTAAATTGTAATGCAACAGGTACATGGCTAGTAGGCCGTGCATACAGAGCTGGATCTCACGCCCTAGTAGACATTGTAAGGGACGTACCTTTACGTTGGGCGAAAGAGGGGTAAGAATATGCGAGCTTTAGTAGGGTTACCAATGAAACATAGTTTGTTAAATCATTTTCTATGAACTTCCCTACATATAAAATATATCATTTTAGGAGATTCTATTATTTCTTAATTTTACTTAGATGAATGTTTTTACTTTAACTTAATGTTTAGAATTGTATTTCATATCCAAAAATCCTTAATAAAGTTGAGTGTAGTCTTTACTGCCGTCCTCATCAAATCAGATCAAATCAAATCAAATGTTTATGCAGGTAAAAGTACATACATACAAGATGAGTTGCAAACATAATGTTGAATTTATAGATAGCTAGTACATACTATGTCTAAAGTTACTAATACGCACAATGTTTCAAGATCATTATTTAAGCTCGGACATTTTTTTATATACAGTGCAATGAATATAATATGTATCAGGATATTAAAATACAAAAAAATTACTGTTATTTATTTCTACCATTATCACATCCATTATGTTGATAGTAGTCGCAATCGAAATAATAACGCAACATTCAGCAGCATTTCGAAATTCATTATTTGTTTTCTAAATCACAGATTTTGTACAAAAGATCACCAGATGAAATTTGCCCAGACTTCCTCAGTGGCCTCAGTAGAGTTCTAGGTTAAATAGTTCTTTTTGCCTTGTCGTGGCCTAGTGGGTTAAAGCGCGCGTCTGGTATTGTCTATGACGCTAGTTCAAATCCATGTATTGCTCCAACTGGTTTTCTCATTGATATTCCACGCCATTGTGATTTCTTTGTGTTCTGAAGGGAACACTGGTGGAGACCTTCATTACCCACACCACCTCACCGATGGGCTATTCGTTAAACCTGGTCGTGGCACCAGATGGGGCCTCAAGGCGGTTCTAGTGAACTCAATACAGTCCCAGGTTGAATAGCTTTTGTCCTGTCGTGGGTTAGGGCAGGCGTTTGGTATTACCCAGGAAACTGGTTCAAATTATATATATATATATATATATATATATATATATATATATATATATATATATATATATATATATATATATATATATATATATATATATATATATATATATATATATATATATATATATATATATATATATATATATATATATATATATATATATATATATATATATATATATATATATATATATATATATATATATATATATATATATATATATATTAATATCAGTTACCTATGTTATAATTTTGTGTCATTAGTTTCAGATAAATTATAATTTCATTGAAGTCACGAAAACGTAAATTATAAGAAGAAAGTATTTAGCCAAAATAACTATCTAGCATTGTGGAAGGGGTGTGAGAATAGGATAGAAGCTAGGATAAGGGAACGGAGAAGAGGACCAAGCCAATTGGACCACCAGGCCCAACAGACCTGCGAGTCGGTAAAGTGCAAAGACAGCACTTTACCGACCAGTCCAAGTGGATAGACAAAGAAGGCATAGTCGAAATAAAAATCTGGCAATTAACGAAAATCCATCATACGTAGTCTCTGAAGTCAAGCTGATTTGTAGAGCAATAATTTGCAACAAAGAAAAATGATTTTATGAAACAACATTAACCAGTGTAAACTCAACGGTTCTGATGAGAGTGTTGGGTGATACAATGGTATTTACAATGCAACATGAGGAAATTTACGTCTATATTAATCATTTTTAATCAATAGATAACCCATCCACATATGATATTGAAAGTGACGACAATTTGGCAGTTCTGGACCCGTATCAACTCGTGACATTATAAAGGCCCAGTACGAACCAAAGAGAAGTCCTTTTCTTTCAGTTTCATACATGTGGGTTAGGGTTTTGTGGCTTGTTCTCTGAAATTCGTGGTGATTGAGGAAATAAAAACATATCTTAACATGAAAATCTGCTTTCTGGTAAACCTCAGTAACAACGAAGTTGTGTAACATAATATTATGCTCCATAACAAGTAGTTGTTAGGGGATTTATAACTCATGTTATTTGTATACCTAACAATAACGTGAAGCTGGAAATTTTAGGTCCTGTAAAATATGAGAGCCTCTATCGAACCCGCGTTGCAAGATGTTAAGACTTAATGGCTTAGTCTAATGGATACAAAAATTCTTGTTTGGTCAGAAGTCGAACATCATCACGATCAACGATCAAGGTTGACTTTAATCAGGAGTAGCACAGAGTCATCTGAGCACGGTTTTGGTTTAGTGCCATCCCTCAAGCTAATGGTATACATTCACTATATACATTATACATTCACTCTACCACACTTAATTCACATAGACTACACTATGTCTTCTCAATGTAAAAATGGTTATCATACAACTTTTAAAACACGCAGTTGTGCTCATATAGTAAATATTATAAAAAATTAACTTTTTGACTTAGAATGATTAGAACAAGCTCCCTCAATTTCCAAAAAACCTAATATATACGAAAGATCATTTTAAAATAATATAGTTTTGTACAAGCATTTTACTTAATTAACTATTACTTAGAATTTACTCTTTAATTCTTCACAGATAAAGACAAAGGCCATACATTTACGCTGTCAAATATTTTAATTGAGACGAGCGATTTTTCTTATATGTAAATTATATCCTTTGGTTTTTATGATATATTTTAAGTTTTCTTCCTTTCACCAGCTCAACACACAGCTTTTAAGAGTCGTAAGAGCTTAGAACTATTATATAAAATCTGGTTTCAAGCAGGGTAGAGATTTTCCCAATCCTTTACTCCTTACTGTGACCAGAAAAACCTAGACAGCCAGAATGAAAACAGGAGACCGCTTTCTGCATGGACAAGAAGAGCCACACTTGACTCTTGTTCCTGCGATGACTAACGGAAGCCGTCCTCTCCTTCAAGACTCGTCCTTTCTACCTTGATGCTCCGCACCCTAACAACGGCAAATGGCTCTACCGTTGATGGTCGGTTGGTAGTAAAGGCTAATGCTGCTCCTGGCTGCATCATCCTCCCTTTTTCCTAGGGGCTTACACCTTTGGCAACAGCACCTCTTACCCTGCGTCCCAGGACCTCTTTCATTGACCACAGGGCCTTTTACCTTGCCTCACGAGGCCTCTTCCTCTGGTTCTCCCTTTTTAAGCTTACATATGATCTGCAACAAAAGGAATGGTCTAGTTGTTAATTTCTATCATCCAATAATATATTGATGTCACTGTAAGTTAATAGACATGAAGGACTTATATTCATACTTAGTTGTAGAATGCTATTATTAATATTATTATTAGTAGTAGTAGTTGTAGTAATAGTATTGATATTATTATTATTATTATTATTATTATTATTATTATTATTATTATTATTATTATTATTATTATTGTCAGCTAACTGATAGGTTTCTCTCTTTTCTAGCAATTTTCGTTTATATTCATTAAAACTTGAATATTTCAACCATTTATATTGCTTACAATAAATAAACACTTTTGATTGCAATGTATATTTGCAATGCTCTGTTATTTGCTTTCAAATTTGTTACACTGTTACAAAATATAGAAAAATATTGTTAAGTTTCAGGTGCAATTAGTTAGGTGGGTGGATTCGTGCGCTGTAAAGGGCTACAATATGAGTGTACACCCAAGCACTCGATAAGTAATAATTGTAATAGTACATTCATGCACTCGTTAAGTAATAAAGATATTAGTATAATCATGCACTAAGTAATTAATAAAGAAATTAGCCCAAACGTGCACTCAGTAATAAAGACTTTAGCTCACTCAAGCACTACGTAATGAAGGTTTTAATACGCTCGTGCACTCAATAAGTAATAAAGTTATTAGCACATGCATTCATTAAGAAAGATATCAGTACACTCCTGCATTCAGTAATATATATATACTAGTACATTCTTGCACTCAATAATAAAGATTTTAATACACTCGTGCACTCTGAAAGCAACATAATCTTATACTCACAGACTTTAATCTGGTTATTTCCTTGTTGTCAGAGTTTTTACTGATGGTGTTTGTAATCTGTTTTATTCTTGAGGCGTACCTAAAATTATCATCAGTATTAATAACAGAAAATATCCTAGTGGACAAAAACATGTGTAGTGCATTAGATTTTTATGTAATTAGCAAAACATGAATATCAGCATAAAGCCATATTCACTACCGCGTATTCCATTTTCGTGGGAGGTATGGAGGCTTCACATCGGAGAAAACTGGTGAATGATGTAGAACTAGAAAGTTAAAGATATTAAATAACAAAGCTTAAAATGTGCTTCGTTCATTCATTATATTAATCGCACTTCAATACATAGCATCAACGATAAACAGGGACTATCAGACTCCATCAGCAACCCACCATTTAATGGCAATAAGCGTACAGTGATGCTGTATACTGCTCCACTCCAGTAGTCATCTACAGCAGCATCCCACTGCTTCAAAGATCAGGTATACCGTGTTTCTTATATACTGTATGTTCGATAAATACAGATAAATTCACAACATTCTTTTTATATACTGCCTTCACCTACCCCTGTATCGTGAGTTGTCCACACTCACTATGTCCCCTACCTTCTTGCCGACAATTTTTTTCCCCCTTCAAATCCTCAAATTGATCTAAATAAATTTTCTTCAATAGTCTACCATCATCTATTCGTTCAATATGCCAAAACCATCTCAGCAAGCTTGCTTTAATCAGTTTATTAACTTTTGACACAATTGCAGTTTATTAACTTTTGCCACATCTCTCCATGTTTTCTATGCTTCTTGTTCCATCTACTATTCAAACACCATGTATGCTTCTCAAGTTATCCATAACATATGTAAAGGAAAATAATGCGCCTGTACAATGGGACCGAACCTGGATGTTTGGTCTCCCCAGCCGTTCTCATTTCACTGTACAGCTTTCACTAATGAGCGTTGACCAGACCACACACTAGAAGGTGAAGGGACGACGACGTTTCGATCCGTCCTGGACCATTCTCAAGTCACTAATGAGTGTTCACACCTATACCAATCAATGATCTCACATCCGTACGTAAGAATCTGTACCACCACTCTTACATGCAGACCTCACAGGCGGCATCGATTCCTATTTTGTTCATCTTAAACAGGGCTTTCATTGCACCAGTCCTGACTCTCCTGACTCTCAACATGATTGCACACATTCCTCCATTAGCAATCACACATTCCAGGCAGGAGAAATATGCCCCATCAGTAGTGTCGACAGCGAGTGTGAGACATTACTTAAATGAGCTTTAAATAGACTAAATAAGATTTACAATAGAAATATGTTTCATTAGTGATGAAAGCGTATGAGACATTACATGGAAGAGCTTTATACGAGACACAATGAGACTTACATGAGAGATATAAGTGTCTCATCGGCGTTGTAAGCGGCTGGAGAGACGTTAACGAAGACAAGAGTCTTGGCGTTACCTCCCAGACTATCCTGAAGTAACATCGTCAGTTTGCTATTCCTGTGAGGGAGGGAAAAAGACTCTTTAGGTATTTAAAATGCTCTCTCTCTCTCTCTCTCTCTCTCTCTCTCTCTCTCTCTCTCTCTCTCTCTCTCTCTCTCTCTCTCTCTCTCTCTCTCTCTCTCTCTCTCTCTCTCTCTCTCTCTCTCTCTCTCTCTCTCTCTCTCTCTCTCTCTCTCTCTCTCTCTCTCTCTCTCTCTCTCTCTCTCTCTCTCTCTCTCTCTCTCTCTCTCTCTCTCTCTCTCTCTCTCTCTCTCTCTCTCTCTCTCTCTTCCACAGAATCAGAGATCAGAGAAAAATCAAATGAGACAGAAAGACAGGTAGACAGAGAATCGGGTAGAAAGAAATGAGAAAGTGGAAGATATAAGAGAAATATAAAAGAAAGAGAATTATATGAATGAGAAAAGGAGAAAGAAATTACAAAAGAGAAAGAGTTTCACCATAGTAACTATGGGAAGAATTCGAACCCTCACACTTAGTACTCTCAAGTCCTCACCATGACGTGGTAAAAACAATGCAACCTGGTAGAAGAAATGCACAATTCAATGTGCCAGAGATATAGCTTACCTATAAGGGATAAAAGAGGACTCAGTAGAGAGAGCAGATATAACATCTCCCAATGCTGAGAGTGACTTGTTGATGGAGTTGGCCTCTTTGAGTTGGTCAGCCGAGGCCCCGCTCTTGCTGACCCTCTCACTGCCGGCCAGGTCAACCAGGGTCAACTGCAGAAGAACCGAGAGGTCAGTGCATGAGGTCAATACAAAGAAATAAAGTTCAATTATATTGTCAAATAATATTTTCAGGTTCTCTTTTTCATATTTCTGTTCTTTGTTTTCTTTGCTTGGGGGACTAAAACAAAAACGAGAAAAACTAAATATCAGCGACACTCAACACAAAGATGGTGGCACTGAATTCTCTATAGATGATTTATTTATTATTTTCTTATAGACGTTTATTGAGAGAAGTACTGCAAATCGGTATAAGTTTATATGACCAATATCTTTCCATTTGGAATGCAGAAAGGAAAATACATGCGGGAAAAACTTGACGAGAGTTACACATCACATGAATGTAACCTGGAATGGCTGGTCCTGGAAAAATATCTGTGGGTAGAAAGGGAGAGAGTTGGTCCTGGAAAGATATTTGGGATTTAACGGGTGAGTGCTGGTTCAGGAAAGATGACTGGGGGTTGGAACGAAGAAGAATCCTGGAAAGATGCTTGGAGGAAGAACGGGGAAATGGTTTGTTCTGGAAATATATCTGGGGCTAAAACGAAACCTAAAGCTGTTAGAAAACCTGTCAGAATAATGCAAATTTAAGAGGAGGAAGAAAACAAATGGAAATACTAAATCTTACATGGACTAGGTGGCAACGAATTCGCAATATGAGAACATTGTTTCATTTAAAGCTGAAATAAGTTTTCACAAAAGACAATCAATAAGTGCATTCTTTCCTAATCTTCATTACAGAAAAAGACGACGGTTATGCAAAAAAAAGTCAAAATTACTCCATTAAAAGAGGACACTGTACCTTTCCCATAAGAACATTTCCAGTTTGCTTCGAGGTAACATTAAGACAAATCACTATAAGCAGGTGAGACCGTGAGCTCTCAACGTTCATCTTGGTAGAGGCGGTGTGTCGATTGGTTAGACCTTCCTCAAACGCCTGACACAACTCTGAGGCAGATGACACGCTTCGTACTGTGGCACCCTGGACGTGGACGCTGCCTTTCTTGTCTCGCTTGATCTCTAGTCTCTCATTCTACGTAGAAATTAAAATTTAGGTGAGAATGAGATGATATTACCATTAGTAATCAAATATATTTTTAGTAAGGGTAGAGTTTTATGTGAACAAATAACTGGATTTGTGACCAGTTTTGATATTTGACCTGGACCGAACGAAACTTTCGTATTGTTTTGCTTCTGACCAAAGTTCAAAAATTGGTATAAAGTTCTCACAAGCTTATATACGTGTTATTCTCACACGCTTATATCAATACCATTCTCACAAGCTTACTACAGTAACAGTCTCATAAGCTTACCCTAGCAACAATCTCACAAATTCACCCCAGAAACAATCCCACCAGCTTCTCCCAGTAAAAATCATACTAGCTCATCCCAGTAACACTCACAAGCGTACTTCAGTAACAATCTCACTACTCACCCCAGTAACAATCACACATGGAACTCCAACAATCTCACCAACTCACCACATTAGCAGTCCCACCATGCAGCTTACCTCAGTAACAGTGATAGGCTTGAGCAGATCAATTAGCTTATCGTTGTACAACTCCATCATGTAGGTTGAGACGGTGACGTCGTACCTGGCTTTCCCTCCCTCCACAAGTTGAAAGAGTCGCCGGAATGCCCTGGGCGCTATACCCGGTTGGGTCTCAGTGCCCAACATGGTGAAGGTTTTGCCTGACCCCGTCTGTCCATAGGCCATGATGGTCACGTTGAACCCGTCTAGTGCCGACTGGATCAAAGCCTGAAGCACAAGTTTAAGTCACCAGAACTTATTCACAAATTCAACATTTGTCTAACGCCGAGATAGATACATGAAGTGGTGTATTCTCTTTTTCGGTGAATGAATACTACAGAGTTTTCTTGACCCCTAGAAAACTTTTAATTCAGGGTTAGAGTTTACTTTCTGGTTGGTCAGTAAGTTAGTATCATTGTCTTAATAAACCTCCCACGGTTGATAGACCTTAAGCCCAGCAGGTATGATTAGTTTTTGTTAGTTCTCCTTTCAACTGTCGTCTCATGATAATAACATTGTGATAAACATTGTGCCATTATCTGTCCAACCGTTCTAATGATAAACTATACTTTGGCTTTCTAATATACATAAATGTTTAAACTGTAAGCTAAATGTTACTCACTTGATGTCAAAAATATATGTTTGATTTACACTGTTGTTAACCTGCTTAGTGCAGGCATGTAATGATTTGTATAAGCTGTTAAGATTATAATTTCTGATTCCGATTCTTACAATAACTTGCACACTTTTGAGATATACACCGAAAGGCGTCAACATTAATCCTGAACTATGTTGATGACTAAATTAAACTTTTATATATATATATATATATATATATATATATATATATATATATATATATATATATATATATATATATATATATATATATATATATGTCGTACCTAGTAGCCAGAACTCACTTCTCAGCCTACTATTCAAGGCCCGATTTGCCTAATAAGCCAAGTTTTCTTGAATTAATATATTTACTATAATTTTTTCTTATGAAATGATAAAGCAACCCTTTTCTCTATGTATGAGGTCAATTTTTTTTTATTGGAGTTAAAATTAACGTAGATATATGACCGAACCTAACCAACCCTACCTAACCTAACCTAACCTATATTTATAGGTAAGGTTAGGTTAGGTAGCCAAAAAAAGCTAGGTTAGGTTAGGTTAGGTAGGTTAGGTAGACGAAAAAACATTAATTCATGAAAACTTGGCTTATTAGGCAAATCGGGCCTTGAATAGTAGGCTGAGAAGTGCGTTCTGGCTATTAGGTACGACATATATTATATATATATATATATATATATATATATATATATATATATATATATATATATATATATATATATATATATATATATATATATATATATATATATATATATATATATATATATATATATATATATATATATATATATATGAACCTAACAAGTAAAGGACCATGAAATAACGTATCAAGGAGCCACGCTGTGTGACATACGACCAGCACAGCAAAACGTACGTTACGCTGCAGTAACGATAAGAGATAAAACTGTCCTTTGTTTAGCCGAAGGAAACCCGGAGCATCTAAGGTCCAGCGATGCCGATAATAAACCACCCTCATACCTCCTCTAAGCAATATTTTCCATAGCCCAAGTTCGATGGATTCTGAATTCGATAAAAGTAGTATCTTATAGACACAGACTATTTCTCTTCTGAGACGACTAACCTTCTGAAGACATGATTTCCATGTTTCCTGACAACGAGCATTACTATTAATAATAATATTAATAATAATAATTATAATAATAATGAGAATATAATAATGAATATGTAATAGTAATGAGAATAATGCACATTAATGTAATTTCTGCGTGTTTCCAATAATAATAATAATAATAATAATAATAATAATAATAATAATAATAATAATAATAATAATAACAATAATTTATATATATACAAACCATACATTGGCTATATAACATTGTATACATAAAAGATGCAGCACTAAAAAAATGTATGTAATGGCCCTAATCACCCTCATAATTTTCAGGCTATATACACTGAGAAGTGTACCAAGCTTCTCAGTCTATATACACTGAGAGGTTTATATATTTCATATTACTTTGGATCCGGGATATGTCCAAAAGTAAAGTATACTTTGCTAATTGATCACTCGGCACTGTTGGTAGCATCAATAATTCTCCAGAGGTTGATGGGTATTAAGCCCAGGACCAAAGCAAGTACCCCGCACTGTGAAGAAGGTGTATTAATCTGTGCATTAGAGGAAGTTCAGTATGGCGGCGCCTCCTTCCTGGAGTTGGTTGAAGAGCAAATCAAAACCCATAAGGCGGAAGAGAAGTAATGAACATAGACTTGCACAGTCACCATGCCATTTTTTTACGTTATATCTGTCTAATCTGACACTGTACTGTTCGATCGCTATGCTACGACAAAAAAATTATATGATCCGATAATATCTCCCTGAATAAAATAAACTAAAGGCTTATTGGTGCTACGAGATATCTCCTATTTGCTAATAGAACTTCTGCAGTTTCCTATGTTCTTATACAGGCAGATATTATAAGGTTATATCGTCTCTTTTGTCGAGACCTAAAGATCCTTCAGGCTACACTTCACGCTCCTCGGACACTAATGGCCATTTCACATCCTGCTATCACCTCATCCGTCTCGTTTTAGTATTTAACTCAAGGAAAATTCAGTACCGTATCAGTTACAGCCCCGCTCCTGTGCCTGGGAAGTCCATTACGGGCTCACCATAGCTCGTGCTACTTGGAACATTTTGTTCCCAGTAGCTGAATCTTAAACATAAAAAAATCAGTACCCTAGTTGTCCTTATCCAAAAACATGAAGCATTTAAAGTTATTCATTTCCATTATTAATTGGCTCGATAATGTGTATCTTTTAGGCGGGAAAGAACAACTGGGTCCATTTGCTTTAATACTATGATTTATTTTTTTTACAATAGATTTTTTAATGGCGTTTGCTCGGCAGCAGGACGACTTCCGTAACTAGCGACTCAGCACCATGAGACCTGAAATCACTGGAAGACGGAGTGGAAAATTTATCCATTAATGACCAGTATTCCTGGGAGACGAGCCATGCATCCTGCTGAAGCCAGAATATCCCCTATGGCGCTTTCTCAAACGGTACTCTATAACCTTACTATATGTAGCGTATACGAGGGGTCACTACGCGTATACGAGGGGTCACTATGCGTATAAGAGGGGTCACAATAGGGGGGGTAGAAATAGCCTAAGCTACTTTATCCCTTTGAGATGTATTTCTTTCTTGTCACAATAAACATACTTGAACTTGAACTTGAGGGGTCACTAAGCGTATACGATGGTCACTAACGATTATATTTATATATGGGTCACCAAGCATATATATAAGGAGTACCAAGCGTATACGGGATTCGTATAGTACTTGTGACGGACACATGTTAGATAATATTCCATAATAGCTTCCCCTACATATTAGACCGTGCCATCCCCGACATATTAATCAATAGCGTTCCAGAAATATTAAACAATAGCTTCCCCTTCATTTTTATCAATTCCTACATAATATTAACGTCCTGCAGAAGCAATAAAAAATATTCACACCAGTGTTCCAATAGTTATTCTATAGTTTTCTTTATTATCTTCTCTTGTTACCTGAAATGCAGTAAAAAAAAAAGTGAGAATACAAAATAACACAAGTTTAGACCCGTCACTCACATTAGTGTCTTGGAAGACGGTGTCCTGATTGTCATGGGGCTGGAAGACTCTGTCGAAGAGGAAGGTCTTGAGGCCTCGCTGGGTGTTGAGGGAGAGAGTGTACTCGTCGTCAGTAGTTGCTACCACTTGCCCATTGTCCTGCCCTCGTTCGGCCTCGCTCACAGGCCGCACCCGGCAGAACACCCGGATCTTGCCCTTCATCTCCTCCACCTGTTTTTTTAACGGAGAGTATTACGCATAGGTAAATACGCACGTTCGGAAACATAAACACGTACGCTGCCATGTACAACTATTGATCGCAACCGTGACCTGTTCTGTCGGAGGACACACCGTGGTCCTTCCGTAAGTTCTTATGTATGTATGAGTGCATGTATGAATGTTGCTAAGGTAATAAAATCAAGTAACAAAAATTAAAGCATTTATAGTAACCTACATCATCAGAGAGAGGCGATAAATATATAATACATATGTATGTATATAAATATATGTAACCAGCGGGATAAGCAGAACAGACCAAGAACTGTCCTTCTTAAGTCGAGAGCAGTGAACTGAAGTGTTCCGTGAATGACTACACGGGCTGCTTGCTAGTGGTCGGGTCCCCTAGCAAGCCCCGTGAAGGCTACCGCTCAGCGGGACATTCCCTTGTTTCTGCTCCGAGTGTCGCCTTGCTTCCCAGCTCACCAGAGCACGGACTGCTAGTGGTGGCGGGGCCCCTAGCAGACTCCGAGAAGCTATGTTTGTTGTAGTGGGTCCCTAGAAAGCTATGTGATGCAATGTTTGTTTTGGTGGCTCCCTAGAAGGCTTCGTTAAGCACTGTTTGTTTGTGGTAGGTCTCTAGTAGGATACGTTAAACAATGTTTGTTGTGGTGGGTCCCTAGAAGGCTACGTGATCTATGTTACAGGAAATGAGGTCCCGTTCATATTCCATGAAGGCAAATCATTCATCGGGGCCTTCTCTCGTTCCTACCCTCTGAGCATCGCCTCACTTTCCGGCTCACTAGAGATTGCGGTCATGTGTGGAGTCCGATGGTACCACGAAATATTAAGTGATAGAGATGTCTTTGCAAAGGATCGCAAGAGTAAGGGACAAACATAGGAACCTCTATCACCTGATGAAGTAATTTTAGTGTTCTGCGCTGACTCGTGCGACACTATCTTTTATTTATTTATTTATTTATTTATTTATTTATTTATTTATATATACACGAGTTCTTGCATTCTTGTACAGCCACTAGTACGCATAGCGTTATAGGCAAGTTCTTAATCCTATGTTCCCCGGAATACGACCCCTCCAAATCATTTAACAACAAGGTATCTATTTTACTGTTTGGTAAACAGAGGCTACAGTTAAGAACTGACGCCCAGTAAATCCTCCCAGGCCAGGATACGAACCCAGGACTCATTAGCGAAACGCCAGACGAGTGTCTTACCACTACAGCACGGGGACATAGCTATACAAATAAATATGAATTTATTCACTATTCGTTCAGCTATTCATTCAGACTTTGTATTACTTCCCCCATCTGACACAAGGAACGTCACAAGATACGTATAGTTATAGTTCTTCAACTCTGCTTTTAATCATGAGTGTTTTGGTTCTGTGGCTTCAGAACAAACTTTCTCAAAAGTACTTCACTTACTTCTAATGTTCGAAACACAATTGGAAATGCCGAGAAACTCAGCTACTTTAATTTAATAAAAAAAATCAGCCAACTTGTTGATATTTCTGAAAAGGAGACCTAGTAAGACTTGACCGTATAACCTTAACTGTTGACGGATCACAGTCAACGTAAAGAGGCCTCAGGGACAACCCCCGACAATATGTTATGTGAATGATTGACAACAGTTAACACTGCTGATCTCATACCATGTTTAGGAATGAGCTTTCTCGATTAAAGTTGATATTGATTTGTAACCATCTGAATATGTACAATAAATTTCATGTGATGGCTTCTAGAAATCTAGTTTCAAACATTAGTTCAAATGAGTCTTAAAATCTTTATGCAAACAGCAATAGGTCAAAGAACTAAAAAACATATATCCAAAAGAGCAATTATTCACAGAACTTCATGAACTTTCCTCAAAAGTTTGTCGCGGAACTTCATAAGGTTTCTCCCAGAGTTTGTCACAAAACTTCTTCACTTACTTTAATAGTTAAATTGTTACAGAGCTCCATATACTAACTCTTAATGTTCGTCGCAGAACTTCATAAACTTATTCCTTAAACTTACCACAGAACTTCATAAACTTACTTCACAAATTTGTCGCAGAAATTCATAAAGCTAGTAAAAAAAAAGACACTGATACAGAAGTCGTTCAGTTACATTTATTCAGTAAATGACTAATTTCTTTAAAACAGACGAAACTAAGCATGCAGGGGAAACAACAAGAAGAGAAGGAACGTAAGAGATATATAAACAAGTAGGAAGATTGAAAGGAAAAATATATTACCTGGTTGTAATACTTCTTCCTGAGTACTCTTTCTCTGTTGAAATCTTCGGCCAGTACCCGGTTCTCATCAGCAAGCTTGGCGAAGCGTTCCTCCAGCACCACCTGCCGGGTGGTCAACTCCTCGCACTCCTGCACCAGACTCTGTCGTAGACAGAATGACAAGACACCTTAATTGTCTTGAAGAAAGATAATTAAAAGCGGGGTTTGCATTTTTGGTACATACTTTTAATTCGCTGTTTATATTCCTGCCTCTGACTAGGTATTTCAATGACTATTTCTATCTCATTCTTTCTCTGTTGTCTCTCTCCTTCGATCTCCCTCTCTCACCACTATGTATTACGTGTTACTATGTATCATGCGTCACTATGTGGTGGTGTCAGTATGCATCGCTAAAAGTGTACACATGTTCAGAACACGTGCTTGTCAGTCTTTTTAGTTCTCCACCATGTAATAATTTGTTTATTTACTCACCTTTTCCTTCAGTATCAGTTCATTGAGGCTTTCTTTTAACCTTTTATTCTCCTCGTTAAGAGTGTCAACGTCGAGTTTGAGCATGTTGTATTCCTCTTCCTTGCTCGTGAGGTATCTCTCAGCGGCCTCAAGCTTCTGGGATGTCAGCTCCAGGCGGTTCTCCATCTCCCTATCGCTTTATCGTGCTGCTTGGAGCTCTCATTCTGAAGGTTCTTCACCTCGGTTTCCAAGTCTGCTATTCGTTTCTTGTATTCCTCTTCCTTGTTGTCGAACTCTGAACATAATTGTCTCAGTTTCTGTGTGTCATTTGTGACTTTATACGTAGCTTTCCTGAGAACTTTAACCACGTCTGGGTCGTCTGCATGTTTAAGTTTCCCGTTTTCGGGTTTTCCGTTTTGAAGTAACGTACTTTCTTTCAGACTGATGGAATCTTTACTTATCTGGTAGGTGGCGGCTGGGTCGTGGATCTTAGAGGTGACGTCAGATAGACGGGACTTGAGAGCAAAGTTTTGTATACTTAACTCATCTCTTGCTTTTTCCAACTGGATCTGTGAAAATATAAATAATAAATTAGGAAATGTGTGAGCATTAATCCAGAACGATTTGTTGGTAATAATTTAGGTGATCAATTATCTTTATCCCCCCCATGTGTTTGATGTGGGAATTATTAATTGGTAATAAAATATGCATGGGCTGGTTAATTTATCTTTCAGCTGTTCAGCTAGATTTTGTAATGAATAATTTATGGACAACAAATATCCGACCTCATCTCCTGCCTCACGACGCATAACCTTATCTCCTGTTACATGTTTCCCAACCTCATCGTAACCATCATTATCAGTAGACACTTTTCCTCCAACTCAATTCATCTCACTTTGGCTAATTCCACTCTCTTCTATAGGAAATTCACCTTAGCAAAAGCGTCGTATGGGCAGAAAATCATCCCATCGGTGACAGCGATAAATCAAGCTGCATCACTGTGGGATTGGTGGGTTTGGGCCTCCGGAACGAGCCATACGAGCTGCCAAGCACATCGCTGTCGACATAGACGTCTTTATCGTCAGTGTCACCCTCGTCAGCATCGTCATCCTCCATCCTACGCTTCTTCAACATCTGTGTCAACTACGTACATAGCATCGTCGTCTCATAACCCCCATAATCCTAAGTTGGATCCCCAATTAGAGTGACATGTTTGGACACGCTTCATTATATCTGATCTTTGGATAATATCTGTTTTCTAAGGAGTAAATAGGTATTTGAAAGTTAAGCGACTGTTGTGAGTGGCATTCTGTAGTAGTGTCAGTCGTCGGTAACGGGGATCTTCATAAGCCTAACAGGATTCCTGTCCCCGAAAATGGGAATCGAACCCAACTGTTATCACTAGCCATGATCTTTTGAATAATTCGTTGCTTGCTCTCTACGTCTTACCGAACATGGTATAAAAATAACGTAAACTTAAGTTGGATGGATACTTATTAACACCAGGAGGCAGCAGTGTCCGTGCAGTATATGAAACCTGCAATGCACCCATCCACCTCCTACGACGGTCTATCCACACAGTTTACAACACATGTCATCCATCTATCAACCAATCCACCCGTCAACGAATCCACCTCCTGCAAAAGAGCTATTCACATTTTACAACAGATGCCATCCAACCAACCACCCGTCCACCAATCAACCCAGCTCCCTCCCGCCACACTGAACACTCTTAGACGCTGTTCTCCAGGCTGGGAGGCCTTCGTCGTGATCACCCAAATACGTGATCACTCGATATCGCTCCTGAACAAATGGCGACAGCTGACGAGCAGAAACATATGAAAAGATTAAATTGGGGGATGAACGAGGATGAAGAAATAAACAGAGCGAGAGAATGACCAACGGAAAATATAATCAAGAATAATGAATAAATATATATACAATGAAATTCAACTGATATATTTCTTTATTAACTGAATAATAATTTCCGTCCAAACGAGACAACACGGTAATTTTACAAAGATAATATGCATCAAACAGTTGATAAGTCTCGGCTCGACTTCCATGCAAAGTGAATCAAACCAGAAGGAATAAGGCTCTGTGGCCTAATATAAGACCACAAAACATGTCCCAACAGGATGAATCACTATTAGTCTGTCTCCTATCCTTTGACCAGAACACGAGCTTCACAAGTCACACTTAACTGCCCACTGTGTCGTCAGAACACGCAAGTCTCCCACCACCGAATGAATGTTTTTAATTAGGAGTTAATGAGGAGTGAGCGATAATGTGAGGGTCTGAAATGAGAGAATAATATACACCTTGTATCGACAAACACCAACAGAAACGCATCTGTTATAATGAGGATGAATAGATCTGCTTTTCACTCATTGACACCTTCGGGAAAGAAACTTAGCATCTATATATATAAGTGTGTGTGTGTGTGTGTGTGTGTGTGTGTGTGTGTGTGTGTGTGTGTGTGTGTGTGTGTGTGTGTGTGTGTGTGTGTGTGTGTGTGTGTGTGTGTGTGTGTGTGTGTGTGTGTGTGTTTTAAAAAAGCTGCTTTATAACCTTGGCTGGGAGTGTCTGAAGCTAATAATCATGGTCCATGTAGATACACACGTTCTGGCGTGATCTTTATTTACGCCCGTCCGCCAGAGGTCTTGCAACCTTAACAAGAGTCAACATCAGACTCTGGCCAAGGTTTTGTTAGTTTTAACGTACACTTCCTAGTTCAATTTTTATCTGTTTTCACCCCATACACTTATGGTCTCTTGTTTGCTTTCTTTTTAACGTGCGCTTCCTTGTACTTTTTTTTTTACTTTTGTTTTACCATGCACTTCCTTGGTCGCTTGTTTCCTTTGGGCTTACAATAAGTGAATTCAACCTTTCAGTGAAATGATTAACGGATCGGAACCTAACTAAAAAGAGGCTCGTTTATTCTTGTTATTCAGAGGTATTATGTGTGTGTGTGTGTGTGTGAGAGAGAGAAAGAGAGAGAGAGAGAGAGAGAGAGAGAGAGAGAGAGAGAGAGAGAGAGAGAGAGAGAGAGAGAGAGAGAGAGAGAGAGAGAGAGAGAGAGAGAGAGAGAGAGAGAGAGAGAGAGAGAGACAGAGACAGAGAGAGAGAGAGAGAGAGAGACAGAGAGAGAGAGAGAGAGAGAGAGAGAGAGAGAGAGAGAGAGAGAGAGCGCACAGGCAGGTAGGTAAGGAATGAGATTACGAAGCATATTGATTAGGAATACCGCAAAGAAGTCAGCCACGCTGCACATTGGAGGTGAGAGGTGGGTGTCCTCACTTCACACAAAGGAGATGAGGATCCATGCAGCACACAGGGAGACAGGAAGCAATGCTTAGCACCAGAGAGATTGAGGGTCCCTACAAACACTAGGTGAATGGGAAAACTGGGACACTCACTAGGGTGTTATTCTCTAGGGTGAGGCACACTAGAAGTGGGGTCGGATTAAGCAAGTGATAGGTGTAGCCCGCAACTCACCGGAACGACCTAGTTATAGCTAATATTTTTACCCCTTGTACACTGCTGTTACCTTCACAAACACAGACGTAGTGAGATGCAGATATTGCTGTGTATGTACTTATTGTTTCTAATTGCTATTTGTAACTGCAGAATTGAAATATTAGCTCTTAGACCCTGCCTTTCTAGCCAATTTGTTTTTTTTTCCTCTATTATGTCTACTACATATATTTCTCTCTAACACACGCACACACACACACTTATCCCCAGGAAGTAGCCCGTAGCAGCTGTCTAACTCCCAGGTACCTATTTGCTGCTAGGTGAACAGGTACATCAGGGTGAAGGAAATTCTGCCCATTTGTTTCTGCCTCTGACGGGGAACGAACCCGGCCCTTAGGACTACTCAGCCTCGAGGTGTGTGTGTGTGTGTGTGTGTGTGTGTGTGTGTGTGTGTGTGTGTGTGTGTGTGTGTGTGTGTGTGTGTGTGAACAAGCACCTACCAGGTTGTTATTGAGTCTGGTGATCTCCTTTGCGGCATCAAAGGGAACCTTATCCAGACGGTCTTTCTCCAGCTGAAGGACCCTCGTGCGCAGTTGGCTGATGGTCATCTCGCGCAGCTGGTGAAGAATCAGGTGGAAATGTAATGAATCATTAGGCATAAGACACAACTCATGAAGATAAACATAATTCATTGAATATTAATACGAAACTAGAAAATATTTGTTTGACCTTTACACATCCCCTAGTAAAGTCCTAGTCCCCTAGTATCCTAGTCCCCTAGTAGCACAAAGTGTCCCTCTTTTAGTGAGACCGCAACTGTTCTTTTCACTTTGTTAGAAAATAAGGGTTCCGTTTGCCCTCAGACAAGCCACATCATCGCTGTGGATTACCTTGAGCTCGTCGACGAGTCGATCTGAAGATGCGATGGAATTAAGTGACTCGAGGGAATTGAGGACCGTTTCTTGTTCAATGTGCAGGCACTCCAGGTCACTGCCTACCGTCCTGAGGAAAAATCAGCAAGAGATGAGAGAAAGTAGAGTGGTAATAATTAATCTTCTGTTTGTACAGGTAATATTTCTGATAATATTTCAGTAATAGCAGAAGCAACATTGAATTTTTAATTATTGTATAATGATAATAGTGTTCATATTAACAATAAGGATAATGTATAAAAAACAATAATGAGATTAAGCATAAACACCATAACAGGAGCAACAGGTGACGCAAGCCGGGAGGGCAGGAAGCCCTACCTGACGCCGATGTCGTCGAGTTTGATGGCCCTCTCTGAAAGCTGCTGCTGGAGCGTCTGGTACTTCTCCTTCAGCTCATGCAAGGTCCGTCGCGTCTGGCGGTGGCTACAACGCTCAAGATGTAACAAAATCGCCGCATCTTCGGGTTTACTTCCAACCACTCTTCCGCCCCCGTCGTCTGCGTCGCCGTCAGGTGAAGGGCGGCCCTCGACCATGTCGGCGCCGTTCACCACCGTCTGGATGGCCTCCAAACTATCTGGCTCATGACCGCTCGTGCCTGAGTCATGGAACGTGTCTGGCGAAGACAATAGAATTACCGGAGTCATTAAAATGCTTAAAAACAGACGGACATGTCGTGGACGGTTTTCACAAGTGAAGAGTTTATTTATCGGATGAGATCAATCTCGTAGGGAATGACTGTGTTTGAGAAAAGGAATACATTTGGAACAAAATTAGGAATGCAAAATGGAACAAAACAAAATCTTTATACGGAAGTTTTATCACACTTAAGTTTAGGGAAGGTAATAAAACCCTCGTAGAAGAGCATCTTCTGTAGGGCTGAGAGGAAAAAATACTGAAATGCAATTATTTTTCACGAGAAGAACAGTTAAGTTGCAAAATGTGAAACAAGTGATTTTATATATACAAGCAAATGTAATCGAAACTATTTGCTCAAATACATTGCTCATCTTGTCTCATCTGAGTTTTATATCCAGATATGTGGGTGAGACCGTGGGAAAGTAATGAGCTCAACGCTCACCTGAAGACAGGGTGGGGGGAGGATGTACAAATTGATTACCTAAAGTTAACAAATAAGCAGACACACACACACACACACACACACACACACACACACACACACACACACACACACACACACACACACACACACACACACACACACACACACACAGGATAAACAGACCCTCCTGGCGGCTCTTACCCTCCTCCCAGACCTCTTCCTTGATGACTTGAAGGCTGCGACTCTCCTTGTCTCGGTGAATGTACAGAAAGTCGAACTCCAGCTCCATGGCTGCTAGTGAGGGGAGCCTGGATGGATGTATGGAGATTATCTACCTCAGTGTCAAGAGAACAGCGGACTGGACACTGGGTGGATGAGACATCTTAACGTTCATGACTCCTTTGTTCCGGAGCGGATAAACAATGGACCACAAAATTTTCATGACTTCACCCTCACTATTCGAACATTTTTTATTTGCTCTGATGCTCTCAACCCGACTGTTCGAACACGTTTTGGCTTGATTGCTTCACTTTCAATATTCGAACATTTATAAGTTTGGTGCCTTCAATATCACTTTTGGTGCTATTTTTAGTTAGCATTCCCTTTTTAATACCTGTGAACAATTTCAGGTTCAATGCCTTCAACTTCACTGATTCATTATGTTTAGTCTTGCTCTCTTCATTCTCACGGTCCGATCACTCTTTCTTATATTAAATACTCGATAACTCACAGCTTTTCATAATAGACTGAGCAGTCACAGATCCCATAGCTTTATTTTACAACATGCAGATGAGTATATATTGCATTTAAGGGAATTGTGAATCATTTTGTGATTCACAAGGGCTTCGAGGGTCACCGAGGAAATCTATTGCTAAGACACTCGTTTTCTCCGAATCGTTTCATGCAAGCAATTCTTATGTATGGGCTAATCATCTTTCCATTTATTCTTTCACTTTCCTTAATTTTATAATTAGTTTATTGTTCTCGGACGCTCTGTAACACCTAGAGAAATTATGTGAATTTGTTTTTAATTTTGGATACACATTTTGAAATATTTAGTGTGTCTCCCTATTGATACAAGTAGGGTCATAGCTGAAGTTCTATACCTTGCGAGAATTATCATAATTTATGAATCACTAATTATTGAAATGAGTAAATGAAAAGAATTTATGCATTCATTTGCATTATCAGTTGACCATGAGGGTCAGTTACGTCTAGTTAACAATTTGTTTTGATGCATTAACAACAGGATGTCTGTCTCGGACTATTCGGATCCGTCTGAGTCAATAGGATTAACTGAAGTTATACTCAGCTGCACGTGACTCCATAATGACTGTACGAGGGCTTCTCCAGCCTTGAAATTCCAATATTTTTTCATTAATATCCAAATAATTAGTAAAAAATAGAATGAACAATATATTACTTTTATATATAATTCTACAAACTCCTGTTTACTCCTATATATGCTCCTGGATTTCCGTGTGACACTAATAGGGTGATTAAACTCCCCCCAGAACAACCACAGTTTCCTGCATCTAAGCATAAACCAGATTCCAGGAAGCAACTCCAGGTATCAGTAAAGCCACAAGGGGTGATGTCATATGGGCGTGGTTGCACCTGATCCGTAATAGTGTGTTAGTCTGATTTGCTGTCATATGCACCATAATGGTGATAAGGAAGGATAAAGAGGGAAATAGGAGCTGAAAGGAAGACTGTAACTGAGAAAGTGAGTAAGCGAGCAAATGACTGAGGGAGTGAATGAGTGAATGAGAGAGTAGGAGAGTAAGTAAGAGAGCGGGAGAGAAAATGCGTGTATAAGTAAGGGAGTGATGAAGGGGAAAAAAATAGAGATACGAGTTAAAACGATTAATTCTTCCCAGCATCGAGAACATTATAAACAAAAACATTTGCTCGGTTTCCCGTGTCTGCGGAACACGGGACCAAATGTGTTTGTGTGAGTGTGAGGGTGTGTGTGTGTGTGTGTGTGTGTGTGTAATTACCTAAGTGTAATTACCTAAGTGTAGCTACAGGATGAGAGCTATGCTCGTGGTGTCCCGTCTTCCCAACACTCTTTGTCATATAACGCTTTGAAACTACTGAGGGTCTTGGCCTCCACCACTTTCTCACCTAACTTGTTCCAACCGTCTTCCACTCTGTTTTCGAAAGTGAATTTTCTTATATTTCTTCGGTGTGTGTGTGTGTGTGTGTGTGTGTGTGTGTGTGTGTGTGTGTGTGTGTGTGTGTGTGTGTGTGTGTGTGTGTTTTGAACACCGTAACATACTAAGAGTTCTTCCCTACATTTTATCGACTCATTTGCATTTCCAGCTTCCACTTATATCCTCTTGTCTTACTGTCTCTCAGCTTAAAAGGCGTGTGCTAGTGTGGAGAGAGTGGCACCACTGCCACCAGCAGCACGAGGAAGGGAGTAGGGAAGGCACCACTTGATAGGGAATTACAGCAACAGACGATGCGAAAAGATAAAATTACCTTGCGTACAAGGAAGCAAAAGAGGACGAAGGTCGCCACTATACCCTGACTTAAAACATTAATTGTTGTTTTTTGTCTTTAGAATAAAATATTAATATTCTTATTCTGAATACGTTGTCACTTCCGCGCTGAAACACGCTTGTGAAGTTATTTTAGCGTTCATAGCATTTATCTGGAGATGAGGTAATATATAATAGTTTAATGTATGCATTTATTTGTTCAACTGAATGACTAAATGAAAATGTATATATATCTGGACATATATATGTGTGACAATGTCAGACCACGGAGGGAAAATGAAACAGGAATTTCCTTAAGTACTTTCGTATATTAATACATCTTCAGAAGGAGTCTAAAGATGTATTAATATACTCCTTCCACTTCACTATGCTCCATCCATACTCCACTCCTTCTGAAGATGTATTAATATACGAAAGTATTTAAGGAAATTCCTGTTTCATTTTTCCTCTGTGGTCTGACATTGTCACATTTTTAATCACGTGTTTGTTTTCGTGATATACACACATATATATGTGTTTGTATGCGCTTGTCCACGTATATGAGTCTCTCCATATCTGACTATTTCTCAAATCTTGATGATTACTGGGGAAGACGAAGCCCGTGAGGCGTGTCGAATGAACCCAAAGGACCTTCTGATAGCCTGCACACTCGACCGATAGCTCAGTCATCGAGCCGAACACAAAAACAGTGTGGCATGCAATAGAGAGATCCGTTGCCTTTTCACTTCACAATGGGAATGTCACATTAGTAAATACCCAAGACCTTCAAGCAGGGAAAGAGGTCTTTCAGGCACCAGGTTTGGACCATGAGCTGATGGACACGGTAGATGGAAATGTACAAATTTATCAATTTTCACTAATTGACAGATATTCTCTAATGAGTAGTCTTTCTCTACTTAATAAATACCTACTAGAGTAATTGGCAGAGTTTCATAAAATTATGAGATTTTAGCAAATATTTACTAATTGGTAGATATACAAGGCATACGAATGAAATCTTCATTACTTCGATTCACAATATGTTGGATTTACGAACACGAACAAGGGGACACAGTCGGAAACTTAGTACCCACGTGAGCCACAGAAAAATTAGAAAGAATTTGTTCAGTGTCAGAGTAGTAAACAGATGTAATGCATTAAGCAGTGATGTGGTGGAGTCTGACTCCATACACAGTTTCAAATATAGATTTGAGAGCCCGAAAGGCTCCAGAATCTGTAAATCAGTTGATTGACAGTCGAGAGGCAGGACCACAGAGTCAAACCTCAACCCCCACAAGCACAACTAGGTGAGTACAACTACGTGAGTACAAACTGTTTAGCACTGGTGGTACGCGAACAAGGAGACACAGGCGAATCTTAGTATTCAAATGAGCCACAGGGATGTTAGAAAAAACTTTTTCAGTATCAGAGTAGTTAACAGATTGAATGTATTAGGCAGAGAAGTGGTGGAGGCAGACTTCATACACAGTTTCATATGTAGATATGACAGAGCCTAGAAGGTTCAGGAATCTGTACACCAGTTGACTGACAGTTGCGAGACGGGACCAAAGAGCCAACGCTCTTTGCAAGCAAGCACAACTAGGTGAGTAAAACTTGGTGAGTACACACACGCAGCGTGTCATCTGAACTTCTCGTAGCTATCTAAGCCAAGTAGCCCAATACTCAGCAAACTACCTGGACAATTTTATATGAAAAAACCTAGTACAAAATAAGAAAAGAGAAATAATGCCTTAGCATAGTGTAGACGATTGGACTCATCATGAGAGTGACTGGAACGTTGTCAAGCCAGGGCGACACCGTCTCTTTCTTGAAAGCTATAACGCATATTTTATGCTTCATTTCTTTGCACGCGTCGTTTGGTTTGAACCTAAGCTACGTCAGATTCACGAAGCTGTCTTACTTTATATCTGCATTGTCAGCTCATCCTCATAAACACTGATCAAGTGCTCGTTAACCTAGAAGTCACCCTCCTGTTTAGGCTCACAGCTGATAGTATTCGCTGAATACTATCAGCTGTGTTCGACCAATACCTGTGTTCGATTCGTA